ACATTTCCATTGGCTAGGACTGCAGGCATAGTCCCCCTAGCCTGACTCGTGGGCCTTCATTAAGATGGCCACACCAGGACTATCTCCTCCTCCCTGCAGCCTGCCTTCTCCCTCCAAGTTTTTCAACCTCTGACCCTGAAGGTGCAATAATGAGAGATTGCCAAGTGTATTGCCTGCAGATCTGAATACAAGATGTTCCTGTGCTAGAGGAAAGAGCCTGGAACTTGATGGAATCACACTCCTGCCAAGCCCGGGAGGTGGCTTAGGGCCATTGCTCTACCAAAAGTGAATTCTCACGATCGTGAGCGACCCTAAGCACACTTGACGTGTTCACCTGTGCCACACACAGTAAGGGCAAATCTGAGGGTTCGTGGTCTAGCCTCTCAGACCATTGTAGCTCTAACCGCCCCTAGTCAATCTCCACCCCATCTCACCCAGAATGCGCTGCGCGATAAATACATATCTACTCAAAAGCAGCCACTGGGGCAGGTATGGTGGCATGCGCCTTTAATCCCAGCACTCTGGAGGCAGGGGTGGGTGGATTTCTCTGAATTGAGGCTGGTCTGATCTATATGGAAAGTCCCTGTCTGGCCAGGTATGCACAGTGAGACCTGTCTCAAAACAACAAAAGGAGGGAATTAGGGTAGACAAAATGGCTCAGTGAGTAAAGGTTCTTGCTGCCAAGACTAAATTTGATCCGTGAACCCACAAGATAGAAGGAAAGAATATATATGTGTGTGTTACACACACACATACACACACACATACATATATATTCTGTCCTTTGAACTTCACCTTTGAAAATCATGTGAATTTACCATGGCATGTATATCTCCTTCCAGACAGACAGACAGACATAATTTTAAAAGAGAAAGAGAGAAGATGGGTAGCTGTACATGCCAGGCACTGTGCTGGGCCCCAGCAGGGCAGAGCAGAGACACAGCCTGCTCTCATAGAATCTACTTTTGGTGACAGGTTAGATGGTGGATAAACAGTGACACAATTAGAACTGGTCGTGTTGGGGACAGGCTCCTGTGCCCTGAGAGCTGCCCAGGAAAGGACTCTAGATGGGGTAGAAACAAGGAAGAAAGAGGAGCATGGGTGGGTCCTGAGCGGCCTGTAGGGCGAAGAGCCAAGTTCACACGGCGTTTGGAAGATGAGAGGGCCATACACTTAACACAAACAGTTTACACTCCAGCTGTCTCTGCACAGAGGGGCCTTTGCAAGGCGTCGGGGAAGGCGCCAGTCAGGAGGCTCGACTGGGGAGGGATGAGTTCCATGTTCACTCTGGTTGTTGGCAGGATTAAACCTCCTGGCAGATGTAGGACTCACGGAGTCAAGTGCCTTGCTGCATGGTTTGGTTCGTGCCACACACACCTCCACCAAACTCCAGAGCCTATACTTGCTAGGTAAGTGTTCTACTGCTGAACTTGTTTCAAGATTTTTTTTTTTTTTTGAGGAAACATTAAAAACAAAAACATTTGTTGGGCTAGGCTTGGTGGCTCACACCTAAAATTCCAGTGCTCAAAAAGCTGACCCGGGACTGTGAGTTTCCAGGACAACCTGTGCTCCCGTAAAATCCTGTCTCCAAAACAAAAACCAACGAACAAGAAAACGAGCTATAGCCATAATGGTCACCCCTGCAAGCCTGGCGCTGAGGACGTGGAGGCCACAGGATCTGGAGTTACAGGCCAGCCTCAGCCACAGAGGGAGTTATAAACTAGTTGGGGCTACATGAGATCTTGTCAGAGAGAGAGAGAGAGAGAGAGAGAGGAGAGGGAGACAGAGAGACAGAAAAAGATCTATTTACCCCTAAATGAGGAAGGTAGAGACCAAAGAAATAGTCTGATGGCTCAAATTTGGTGATCGAATGAGTTTATCCCAGTGATCTGGAGGATCGTGGGCAATTCAGAGCAGTCGTTTGTTTGAAAACTCCCATCCCTGATTGTCAAGCTCCCTAATTTATGTGGCTCAAAGTCTACAGCGGAATTCAGGCAAACCTGGCTCAGAGCGCCCCCTAGTGTTGAAGCAAGGTAGGTGTAAGGCCAGCGCTACTACAGTGCTGGTACTCCATTCACCTGGCAGCTAGCTTCCTTCTTCCAAGTCAGTGACCGGGAGGCAGGGACTGGACACAGACACGGGACTACAGCATTTTCCTGAGCTTGTTGTGCAACTTTTTAAGGGAAGATATAAAGGAAACATCTATGCCCCCCAATGAGCAGAGTATGGACTGACCATAAAAAGTCTAATGTAACTTAAGGACAGGAATGGCCTCCTGCACCTTTGCTGTATTCTATTGGTTAGGAAGAAGCCTGAGGGTGTGACATCACATCACCCACGCTAAGGGTGTAACATCAGGAGGAGAGATCTTGAGCTTCACCTGGATATCTGTTTGCCAGAAAGGACCAACCAGGAACAAAAGAGAGGCTTGTGTAATGGCCCTGTGACAGGAAGAAGCATGGCCCTCAGACAGCAAGGAGAAAGTCAGAAGGAGCAGGTGGATGAAAAGGACGCTCTACCGGACTTTTTCTTTTTTATTCTCAAGGTTTATTTACGTGTTCTGGTGTTTTACCTGCATGTCTGTCTACGCATCATGTGTCTGCAGTACCCATAGAGGCCAGAAGAGGGCATCCGTCCTTTGAAACTGGAGTTAGAGGCAGCCGTGAACTGTCCCGTGGGTGTAGAGAATCAAACCTGGATCCTTGGTGTGAACAACAAGTACTCTTAACCGCTGAGCCATTTCTCCAGGACCTTCACAGGGCTTCTCAAAACTTCCAAGAGAAATGGAGATCTGTGGAAGAGAGGGTGGTGACGGAACCCAACATACATTGCCAGTCACTGACACTATAGATAAATGGCCCCATCCAGAACCATCCAGTAGGCAAGGAGTTGATGCTAAGGCAGATGGGCCCCACAGTCAGCTGGGCGCTCCATGAGGGTAAGCTTGATTCAGCACTGAACCTGGAGCCAGGACTGCCGTCGAGTGGCTATGTGAGAATAAATTACTCGATGGATCAATAAAAAGCCGGGTGGCTTGTCCACACCTTGCTCAGGGAATTAGATTCCTGATAGTCTGGCCTGTCTTCTACTCTGAGCCCCACTATGCCCACCCGTACATTATTCCCCTTGACAACCTTGGGATCCACCCAAGAGATGGCGTAAGTTCCTGGGACAGCAACCCTTGCCTCAACTTGGCAAGCACTGCCCTTGGCTAGAAGGCTCAGTACACAGTGTGCCCTGCCTGTGGGCTCAGGCGGGAGCAGGGTGTGGCCCAATACTCGTTGTTTGGATGACTGTGCATTTCCATTCCAACCCTGCTATGCTTTCCCCAGTTGGAGCGGAATCTCTCATATCCAGCACATTCCAGCAGACGCAACGCGGCTGCTCTGGGCTCTAACCTTGCTATCATCCTGCAGGCCTAGGGCTTCTGTTGATCTGGAGAATCTGAGTTGGGTCTGTAGAATCCTCTAGTAAATGCCAGGATGGAGAAAAAGAAAGAGAGGAGAGACAGGTTGCCTGGTAGCCAGGAGATACAAAACTGGCTTCAAGAACCCCCATTACCAGGGCTATGTAACCTTAAGCAAGCTATACCCCATTCCTCCTTCCTTCCATCCTTCCTTCTTTCCGTGTGTGTACAATGTATATGTTCATGTGGGTATGTGCCTATGTGTATGGAGGGAGGCCAAAGATGCTTCCATTTTTAAATTTTTATTTATGTGTGTGTGTGATTACCAGAAGAGTCTAGAAGAGGGTTAATCCCCTAAAACAGAGTTATATGCTGTTGTGAGCTGCCTGACACGGGTGCTGGAAACTGAACTCAGATCCTCTGGAAAAGCAGCAAGTGCTCTTCACTGCCGAGCCATCTCTCCAGCCCCTCCATCTCTCCAGCCCCTCCTCCATCTCCCCAGCCCCTCCTCCATCTCCCCAGTCCCTCCTCCATCTCTCCAGCCTCTCCATCTCCCAGACTCTCCACCTAGTTTTTGAGACTGAGTCTCCCCTGAATCTAGTTCGACTAGTGGGTCAGCTAGCTCCAGAGATCCTCCTGCCTCAGTTCTCCCACCAGTGCAGGAATTAGAGTAAACTTTCCTCTTAATAGGTGTGCAGAATCTGAACTCAGGTCCTCATGGTTGCACAGCAGGCATTTTACCAAATGAGCCACCCCCCAGTCCCTCACCCTAGTTTCTGAAGTCTGTCATGAGAGATGGTGAGCCTCACCTGCCAAGTCCTCCAAAAGGAGGAATACTGGGAGGAGAGCACGGTTCCCTCGGGCATCATGGGACATACAGACATAGTGCAGTTTCTGCCTACTCCACTATGGCTTTGGTACCTTCTAGGAACTTCCTGGATCTGTTTGATGTCAGTCAAACCTTTGCTGGCCCTGACATGAATCCTCAGAATTTTCAGACTCCAGGCTTGCAGATCATAGTCAACCAGCTGGTGGAGGAGCCAGCACCCAGGCACCATGAACCATCCCCAACAACGCTGGGAAATTTTTAGGGCTGGGAGATGATGGAGTCAATAAAGTATTTAACAGGTTGGAGGGATGGTTCAGCAGTTAAGAGCACTGGGCTGCTCTTCCACAGGACCCGGGTTCAATTCCCAGTATCCACATGGGAGCTCACAACTGTTTGTAACTCCAGTTCTGAGGGATCCGACGCCCTCTCACAGACATACATGCAGGCAAAACACCTGTGGTGGTTTGGAAAAAAAATGCCCCAAAGGGAGAGCCACTAATAGGAAGTTTGACACTGTGGGGGTGGGCTCTGAGGTCTCTTTTCTCAAGTTTCACTAGTGTGACCTCCAATTGACTTCCTGTCACCAGGAAGATGTAGGACTCTCAGCTCCAGCACCACATCTGCCTGCGCACCGCCATGCTTCCTGCCATGCTGATGCTGGGCTGAACCTCTTAAAACTATAAGTGAGCCACCCCAAATAAATGTTTTCTTTATAAGAGTTGTCATGGTCATGGTGTCTCTTCAGAGCAATAAAAACCCTAAGACAACACCAATGTACATTTAATAAATAAGTAAATAAAAAATAAATCAAGAGTGAAGCATGTGCTGTGCAAGCATGAAGACCTGAGGGGAACCTCCCAGAACCCACACAAAAAGCCGGGTGTCGCGGTGCAGCCTTGGAATCCCAGCACTGGAGAGTCCCTGGGTCTCCTTGGCCAGCTATAGCCTTGCTGAATCAGGAAGCTCCAAGCTCAGTGAAGATGAAGGAAGAGGTTGATGAGATGGCTCAGCTGCTAAAGGCACTTGCCAGCAGGATCGGTGACCTGAGTTCAACCCCCAGAACTAACATGAAGGTAGAAGAGGAGAAAATAACTCCACCACGTTCTCTTCCGTCTTCTCCATGCATACTGTGGAATTCAAATGTGCACACACATGCATGCATTGATAGTAACAATTTTTTTAAAAAAAGAAAATTTACAATGGAAACATCAACAACAAAAAAAAAAAAGAAAGAAAAGAAAAAAGAAAGGTAGAGATCAATTTTGAGGAAGAGGCCCCAGTATTTACCTCTAGTCTACACACAGACACACACACATACACACACACACACACACACACACACACACGCATGCACGCGCACACACACACACAGAACACAAGTAATTTTTCCAAGTACCCAGGTCACTTTGGCAAGCTAGTTATCTGGAACTGCTTCCTCCTTGGTAAAATAGAAGTGATAATTCCTACTCCGGAGGGCAGGTGGGGAGTCTTAGTTGGGGTGTCTATTAAAACACCATGGTCAAATGTAACTTGTGGAGGAAAGGGTTTATCTTATCTTACAGCTTGTGGTCCAGCATGTGGGAAGTCAGGCAGGAATGAAAGGACCTAGAGGCAGAAGCTGGCAGAGGCTATGGAGGAGTGCTGCTTACTGGCTAACTTCTCAGGGTTTGCTCAGCTTCTTCCCCCACTCCCTCCAAACAGGCTTTCTCTGTGCAGTGCTGGCTGTCCTGGAACTAGCTCTGTAGACCAGGCTATCCTTGAACCCACAGAGATCAGTCTGCCTCTGCCTCCCAAGTGCTAGGATTAAAGGCATGCACACCACTATCTAGCTACAGCTTGTGTTCTCTCTCTCTCTCTCTCTCTCTCTCTCTCTCTCTCTCTCTCTCTCTCTCTCTCTCTCTCATTTTTTTGTTTTTCGAGACAGGGTTTCTCTGTAGTTTTGGAGCCTGTCCTGGAACTAGCTCTTGTAGACCAGGCTGACCTCAAACTCACAGAGATCTGCCTGCCTCTGCCTCCCGAATGCTAGGATTAAAGGTATGCGCCACCACTGCCCAGCCAGCTTGCCTTCTTGCCTAGGGCCTCCTGTTCAGGGGTGACACTGAGCCCTCCCATATCAATCACTACTCAATAAAAATATACTACAGACTTGCCCATAGGCCAAGCTGGTGAACACTTTTTTTTCAATTGAGGAGTCCTCTTCCAAAATGAGTCTAGGCTGCCTCAAGTTGACATAAAAACCAGCACCCTCCAGCTCCTAGGATGCCAGACAGGATCTCTGAAAGCCATGCAGTGCCTCAGTGCCTGGACACAGTGACATCATGATTGGCTTCTCAGCAGTCCTTGACTTCTGCTCAAGGTGCGGTGAGTTCTGCAGCGGTGCTGGTGAGGGATAGATGCTCAGGGGCACCATGATCTCTTTAAGAATTCGGGCCAGCAGCAGGCAGGACAGAGTGCAGAGGGAGTGCAGAGAGAGGGTGCAGAGGGAGGGAGTGCAGGGGGGGGGCAGAGGGAGGGAGTGTAGAGGGAGGGTGCAGACAGAGGGAGGGAGGATGCAGAGGGAGGGTGCAGACAGAGGGAGGGTGCAGACAGAGGGAGTGCATCTTCTACCTGATGGAAGCCAGAGCTCCTAGCCCAGCTCATCAGGCCGTGCCTGCACCTCCTCTAATAAGTCAGGTAACCCCTTTTGAGCCTGGGTTTCTTCATCTGTAAAGGATAGATAAGAACAGTAAACAGTCTGCCTCCATCACAGGGCTGTGACTCCGGAGATAAACGCTCGCAAAAGTGCTTTGTAAAGTGGAAAATTGTTTTCCAGGATGAGGGACCATCAGCCTTAGTGATACAGATCTGGTGTGGGTGGCTGAATCGCCTCTGCCCTGGGGAAGTCAGACACAGAGTGAAGGGTGAGTTTGGGGAGACCAAACTGTCAAACCACTGCCTTGGGGACACCTCAGCCACTTTTGGTCAACAAAACTTTAGTTATATGAATGAAATGTAAAACTTCCATGGTTCGGGTGCCTGTAGGGTTTCCATGCTGCATTTTGACAAAACACCAGATGCACATCTAGAGAGTTCTGTGGGGTCCCTGACCTCAAGCTGTCAGGGTAACATCATTCAGACATGTTATTCAACCTGCACATTTAAACCAAGAGGGACCTCCCTACGTGTCTATGACAGACTCCAGGAAAGGACAGAAATATGTTTTCCTTCTAATTTCTTGTTTTGAGAGTTGGGCGGTATTTTTGCTCAGACATGGTCGAGCATGTCTGGGATTTCAGTGCTTTAGAGTCAGAGGTGGGAGAATTACAAATTCAAAGCCAGCCCAGAATACATAGGAAGATACATCTTTTTTGTTTTGTTTTGATTTTCAAGGCAGGGTCTTATTATGTAGCTCTGGAACACACTATGTAGACCAGGCTGGCGTCGAAGTTACAGAGATCTGCCTGCCTCTGCCACTACCACCAGGCAACAAGGCTCATCTTAAATCTACAGTCGAACAAACCAAAAAAAAAAAATGAGGAAGAGAGAAGACGTACCATTTCAATGACTAAGTATCAGGACGGGATGCAGTAGGTGGGAGAGCCCGTCAAATATTGTGTGAATATGGCGAAGTCTTGGAGGGGTGTCTCAGGCAGCCTAGTTCACTGAGCCACACTCTGCCCCTTCAGGCGTGTCTGTAGTTTTCCTCAGTGATGAGCAGCAATGTAAACCTAATAAGCTCTTTCCTCCCCAACTTGCTTTTTGGTCATGGCGTTTCATCGAAGCAATAGGAACCCTAATTAAGACAAGTGTTATATCTATCTGGTGAAGCTTTAAGGCTCTGAATATATAAAGAGCTTTCAAGATCCACTAAGTCCAATAACTCAAACGAAAAATGGACAAGTGACTTGCACAGACATTTCCCCAAAGAGAATAGCTAATAGGAATATAGAGGTGCTCAACATTCATAATGAACCGTTAAGGCAACATAAATCAAACGTTCAATGAATTATCACTTTGCTGTCTAGGGTGGCTAAAATAAAAAGAAAGGCATAATAAGTGTTAGCAAAGAACTAAACAAAGTGTTTTGCTTAGTTAGAAACAAAAGTGTTATAGTCTGCTTGAGGGAACATAAAATGGCTCAGCCACTGACAGCGTAAACAAAAGGCAGAGATCTGCAATTTGGGCTTCGTTCATCTCATTTGATCCTGCCCCTACTTCCTGTGTCTACCTTTCGCTGCTATTTTCTCCCTTTGGTCTCCAGAATACTGGGAATCTATAATTAAAGATGGATCAAAGAGGGCTAGGTTTTCTTTCTGTAAACCAAATGTTTGGTTAGCCCTCCAGAAATTCAAAACTAGCATCCAACTTTTCCTCCTCCCTTCAGCTGAAAATTCCCCTTCCTTTGGACCCACCAGTAGTCATAATGGTTTTTTAAAGGTTAAATTCAGCCTTTTCATTCCCCAGTTCTGGGCCTTTCTAGACTTCAGGGCTGGCAAAGAACTCCTCTTCCTGCATTGAATTTCTAACATCATGAAATCAGCCCCACGCCATGCTTTAGTGAAACTCCAGAGTCCTTCTGTTCATCTTAAGCACCTGCCTGCCTTTTGGAAAGGGGTTAGAGATTCATTCCTTCGGCTAACTCCTCTCATTCCTAGGGCTAACCCCTCTCATTCCTCAGGCTAACCTCTCTCATTCCTTAGGCTAGCCCCTCTCACTCCTTAGGCTAGCCCCTCTCACTCCTTAGGCTAACCCCTCTCATTCCTTAGGTTAGCCCCTCTCACTCCTTAGGCTAACCCCACTCATTCCTGAGGCTAACCTCTCTTACTCCTTAGGCTAACCCCTCTCATTCCTCAGGCTAGCCCCTCTCATTCCTTAGACTAGCCCCTCTCACTCCTTAGGGTTAAGGCTAACCCCTCTTCTTTCTTAGCCATAGTTTCCTCATTTGCAGAATGGAAATGAAGCAGTGGTGCTGGGGCTTGCCATCACTCTCTCACTGTGCACTCAAAGTGTGGTCTAGAGGGTCAGACACCTTCAATTGCAGTGCTTGCCTGTGGGAAGTTGAGTTGTGTCATACACTTAATGAAAGGACATCGCCCCGGTGAGCACACAAACAGCCATGCTAATCCAGCTGTGTCTGTTTGGTTGGGCGCTAATGTTTTTGCCAAAATAAAACAACATCAATAGTCTATGTTTATTTAGCTTTGGAAAATTGGTTTTTTTTTTTTACAATGAAAATTTAAATTATGAAGCCGAGCATGGTGGCACATGCTTTTAGTCCCAGCACTTGGGGGACAGAGGCAAAAGGAGGCTAGCCTGGCCTACAGAATGAGTTCCAAGAGAGCCAGGGCTACATAGAAAAACCCTGTCTTGAAAAAAGCAAAACAAAGCAAAAAAAATTAAAATTACAGCTTCAATGACTCTAATTGCTATGAAGCAGCATATAATGGGTTATTGCTTAATGAAGTAACAGAAATGTTAAAGCCACCGTGGTTTTAATTTGCAATGCGGTAATTAGCAGTACTGGTAATCCACACTAACAAGAGCTTCTGGGGGTTCTCTATAATTTACTAGGTTTGAGATAAGGTTTCCTGTGTCTCAGGCTAGCCTCAAACTCACTATACAGCTAAGGATGACCTTGAACCTCAAATCCTCCTTCCTCTACCTCCCCAGTGCTAAGATTACAGTTGTGTGCCACCAAACCCAATTTTAAGTGGTACTGGAGACTGAACCCATCTCTTCACACCTGATAGGCAAACACCCATCTGCTGAGTTACATTCCTACCAGCCCCCTTCCCCTTTTTGTCTTTACTTTGGTTTTGAGGTGTGGGGTAGTTTGAATGTCATTAGCACCCATAAACTTATAGGGTGTGGCATTATTAGGTGTGGCTTTGTTGGAGGAAGTGTATTGTTATGGGGGTGGGCTTTAAGGTCTCCTTTGCTCAAGCTTCACTCAGTGTGACACCCAGACCACTTCCTGTTGCCTTTGGGATCAAGATGTAGCTCCTTCTCCACTCAGCTTCTTCTTCAGTCACCACGTCCCACTGTGATGATAATGGACTAAACCTCTGAAACTGTAAGCCACTCAAATGTTTTCCTTTATAAGAGTTGTCATGGTCATAGTGTCTCTTCACAGCAATAGAAATTGTAAAATAATATTCCACAATATTTTCCCCTTTTTGTCTTAAAAAAAAAAAGGGTTTTAACTTTAACATCATAGTAAAGTTACATATAACAATAATTATCAAGTAAGGATTACAGTTACATACCCAGTCAATTTGCATTTGGCAAATTCAGAGAATTCTCTTTATTATCTATTCTATCTTGATGAGTCTATAGCTCAGTATCTAATTTACTTTCTACTATAACTAAGGAAAACAGAAACTGTATCTATCTAGTCTTCAACTCCATCAAAGATCCCAGAAGGATATATTACCTGAGTGAACCAGAAGTACAGTGCAAGCCACTTCCAAAACTAAAGAACTGACAGGCATCTGACTGTCTAGCCAGTCATCCAAGGTTCCTCTGCAATGTTGAGGTAACTAATCTTTGGCCTACAGGCCTAGACTATCTGGCAGACTTGTCTATGAAGCAGGAATTCTAAAGGACTGTCTGCCTTGTTTCGGCAAAGTTCGGATTTTTTTTCCTTTGTGTCCTGCTTGTCCAGTTTGTACAGCATACTGTCAGCAGTCAAGGCAAAAGTAGTTTCTTTACCTGTGACTAACTTTGCCATAATAAAGGCAAACTCCATATTGAGGTTTTTCAATGCCCATCATCTTCTCTGAAGTAAATCAGCGCTACCAGGAGCAGACCTGTCTCACTGTCATGAAAAGTCCTGGGTTATTAAACATCTTAAATGTCATATTCTGTAGGTGAAGATACATCTGTGAAGTATCTGATGACCATCTATCTAAAATATATCTGTTTAACCTTGAAAACATAACTAACACAACTGTAAGTTTGATTATTATAGATGACTAACTGCTAATCCGCGTTCTTAAATGAGTTACATAAGCACAATATCCCAAAAGAGAGTAGAAAGATATACCGTATATACCTATAACAAAAATAACTTTAAATTTATATAACAAGTATATATGACCTCATACCAGAAGAGTGCATCAGATCCCATTATAGATGGTTGTGAGACAACATATGGTTGCTCAGAATTGAATTCAGGACCTCTGGATGAACAACTGGTGCTCTTAACCTCTGAGCCATCTCTCCAGCCCTTAATTTTTTTTTTGTTTTGTTTTTCAATACAGGGTTTCCCTGTGCAGTTTGGAGCCTGTCCTGGAACTCGCTCTGTAGACCAGACTGGCTTTGAACTCACTAATGTCCGCTTTCCTCTGCCTCCCAAGTGTTGGGATTAAAGGTGTATGCCACTACCACCTGGCTACTAAAATCTATAACAATGCAAAATATTTGAAGTTAATAGTTGTCTTTTATCCTATATCCCCACTAAATAATGACAAATATCCATAACCCACGAAATGACCAAAACCACCCACTCTACCTCTTGGGAATGTGAGCATTGTATTCTCTAAACTGCTTCTGTTGTCTGTGGGCAAAGGAATCTTTAGTGAACCTGAGAAAATTGAGATAATAGTCAAGTCCTAAGGAAATTAGTTATAACATTTGTTGTTCAGTCTCTGTGCAATGGGAAAGGACAAGGCTTACCTGCAGTCCTGGCTAGAATAGCCTGTGAGGCTGGACCATCTCAGCCAGCAGCCTTGAAGCTGTTCTAGATGCAGAACTCTTAGGAAACTGCAACAGAGGCATTCTGAGATGCTGAATTACTTGGACCACTCATTTTTATTGGTGTCTCGTTCGCTTGCTCTGAAACACACAGACTGTCACACATACCTGCATTAACATAAGTATGACTATGCATTGCACACAAGCCAGCCAAAATTTTTTTTGTTTTATGTTTGAGCATGTAAAATAAACATTACCTGCCTTGTAGTTTTTCTAGGTTTAGTTCTTTATATCTGTAGCCAGGATTTTCAGGGGGTCTTCCCCAATCAAACCTGATCTCTGTCAAACTTGAATGAATCCACAGTCTTTCATTTGCTGTGGAAACAAAACCATAACCTTTTTCCCAAAGCAATACATTTTTTGATTTCCACTTTAAAGTTAAGGCACTCCTAAAATATATAGGCTGGTTTAATTCAGCAATCCCCTTCACAATCCCATGTCTCCCAGCAGCTGTTGTTTGCTTATCAGCAATCAAAAAATTCGAAGACAGCACAATACTACACAAGAGCCAAACTCCCTGTGGATTTCCCAACTCTACATGGCTTATTTTATTATTATTATTTATAAACTATTTACTTTTTCTATGACTGAACATCCATTTTCTTTTCTTTCTTAAACCTATGCGCATTTTAAACATACTGTAACCTGTTTAGAGGCCTTTTCCATCTGGATCTGTCTCTACTGCGCATCTCTATCCTTTTCTGTCTGCATGAGCAAAACCTTAAACTGCTAAGCTACTGCTGGGTCCACTGCTGCAGCCTTGGCAGCTGGTTCCACCCTGCCTGGATTTTTAAGGTCACAGCCTTAAGCTTGCCAGCCCAGTCTGGAGGTTTGTGACCAGAAACTCCATTCAAGCCCCTCAGCTCTAAGAAGTGGGTGTCCTGCACTGTGGCAGGCATTTTTAGTTAGCTTTTTGTTTCTACTTAATGTACTAACTGTTTAAGTGCTCTGCTATAGGGCAGAGCTTCTTAAAGGAACTGTATCCTTTTTTCCTCTCTCTCTTCTTTAACCTTCTCAGGCCCTATGTGAAAATTCAGGCCTCATGTTAGAATGCCAAAATGTACCATGCTTTTTCTTTTAGGCCACCAACCAGTTCCCAAATCATGACATGGAGACTTCTTATTAGTTATGAATGCTCAACTTAGCTTAGGCTCATTTCTGGCAAACTCTTTTAACTTAACCCATTTCTCTTTAGCTACCTTTTGTGTCAGGGCTTTTTACTTTTCTTTCCTTCTGCATCTCTTACTTTCATTGCTCCTTATGTTTGCTGGCTGTTGGCTGCCTGGCTTCTTGCCCCGGCATCTCCCTAATTCTCTATTCTTTCTCTCTTCTTCTCTCATTTTCTAGATTTCTCTTCCTATTTATTCTCTCTGCTAGCCAGCCTTGCCTCTCCCTCTTATGCCTAGCTATTGGCTGTTCAGCTTTTTATTAGACCAATCAAGTGCCTTAGGCAGGCAAGGTGAAACAAATGCACCACATTTTTACAAAATTAAACAAATACAGCATATACAAAAGCAACACATCTTTGCCCCTGGTTGCCTTGTATATTACTTTGCTTTTTATAGTTTAATAAAAGTCATGACCAATGGTAACTTGAAGAGGAAATGGCTTATTTCCCCTTAAAGTTTATAGTCCATCATAAGTGAAAGTCAGGGGAGGAATCCAAGGCAGGAACTGGAGGCAGGAAGTGAAGCAGAGGCCACGGAGTAGTGCTGCCTACTGGCTTGCTCTCCCAGGCTCTCTTAGCCTGCTTCCTTGTACCATCTCGCGCAACATGAACAGAGGTGGCACTGGCCATAGTGGTCTGGACCCTCCCTTAGAAATCATGTCTGGCTTTTTTTTTTTTTTTTTTTTTTTTTTTAAAGACAGCGTTTCCTTGGAACTCACTCGGTACACCAGGCTGGCCTCAAACTCACAGATTTGCCTGCCTCTGCCTCCCAAGTACTGCGATTAAAGGCGTGCACCACCACTGTCAGCCTCAAGTCTGGCCTTTAAAAAAAAATCTCTTATTGGGAGAGATGGCTCAGAGGTTAAGAGAATTGCTTGCTCTTCCAAAGGTACTGAGTTCAGTTCCCAGCAATCACATGGTGGCTCACAACCATCTGTAATGAGGTCTGGTACAGGCATACACGCAGACAGAATATTGTATATTTAATAAATATTTAAAAAAAATTTTTAATGTGGATGATAGGGTTTGAACTCAAGTCCTGACAATTGCACAGCAAGCAATCTTACAAGTGGACCTACCTCCTCACCTCCTACTTTTCATTACTTTTTCAGACAGTCTCGTATTCGTGACTGGCCTCAAACTAGCTATGTAGCATAGATGGGCCTTAAGCTCGTAACCATCCTGCTTCTATTTTATCGTATGAGTGCTTTATCTGCATGTATGTATGTGCATTAAGAGTGTGTTGCAGAGGTCAGAAGATGAGGTCGGATACCCAGTGCTCTAAACCGCTGAGCCATGCGTCCTGCGTCTAGAAGTCTAGAGAACAACTTGGGGGAGTCGGGGGGAGGGGCATTCCAAACCTTGTGGCTTCTGAAGATGGGACTCAGGTCGGCGGCTTGGTGGCATACCATTCTTTATCCGCTGAACCATCCACGGGACCCTCCAAAATTATACTTTTAATTATTAGACATAGCTGGGAACCCGAAGTAGGCACCAGGAAAGTACTGTTAGTTGACACCTACACACCACACTACAAATAAAAGCGAACGTCACCCACATCCAGCTTAACTTCCATTCGGTCCCTTTGAGCTAAGTCCCGCCCCTCCAAGTCCCGCCCAGCGCACCCTGAAGGCCCCACCCTTCACGCCCACTTCCTGTTTTTTGGATTTCCGGACGACTCTCTGGCTTCGCCAGCTCAGCTCCGCCCTCAGTTCCTCGATCAACACCCCCCCCCTCGACACGCCTCCTGCTTTCGCCACATCCGGTCTCCATATTGCACTCCCCTCCCTCTTGCTCCCGCCTTCGCTCGCTTCCGGTAGTCACCGTTACCGCTGCTGCCGCTGCTGCTTCTGCTGCTGAGGCTGCGGGCGGAGGCCGGAGGACCGGGCGGCGGCGGCGGCGGGAGCGCAGCGGGACGACCGAGCGAGAGCCGGCGAGTTGAGAGCCGAGCGCTCTCTTTCTCCCGCTCTAGGAGCCAGTGCCTCCCGGGCCCCGCCGCCGCCGCCGCACAAAGCCGCGAGCCCGCGCCTGAGCCATGTCCGCGTCGGCAGGCGGCGGCCACCAGCCCAGCCAGAGCCGCGCCATCCCCACGCGCACCGTGGCCATCAGCGACGCTGCGCAGCTACCTCAGGACTACTGCACCACTCCCGGCGGGACGCTGTTCTCCACCACGCCGGGAGGTGAGTTGTCCGGGCCTGCCCGCCATCGCCGCTGGCGCGTGGCACTGTATGCTCGACCCACCGCTTCCTCTCCCGTGCACGTCTGCCGCTTGGACTGTGTGCTGCAGAACGTGCACTCTGCGAGGCAGGACTGGTCTCTGGAGCTGCCCTTCGGGTTTTGGAGGAGGGAAGTCGGGGAGGGGGATCCGGCGCGAAATCGTCCGTTGACTTATCTTTCAGTGCTTAGAGCCCCGGGACGAGGCTGGCATGCACTGTGCATGCCTCGCCCAGTGTTATCCTCCTTTGGCAGCATTGTTTACTTTGTTGGAGGAGTCATCACAGGTCAGGGGAGCCCCAGGCTGGAGAATTGGCAAGGGGTTGTGGTAGTAAAATGCCTCCTGTGGTAACCCAGATGTTGGCTCTGGTAGAAGCGCTGTCAGCTTTCAGCTCAGGGCTTTGGGGGAGCAACTTTGAGATTGTGGACGGGGGCTTTGTCAAATAGCAAACACTAGTCGGATTAGGTCACATGGTCTTAGGGAAGGGGCTTGTAGAGGGAGGCAGTGCAAAAGAGGTGCCTGGGGTTGCTTTTCCAAAGATGACCCGGAACTGTTTACCAGCAACACTAGAGGTGAAACATGTTGAATTGGTAACGGGAAAGGAAGCGCAAAGGTTGTTTGTCCCCATTCTGGGCTATTCTCTAGAGGGAGAAAGGAATCTTCTGGGCCTTAATGAAGGGAACTGGCCTTCCTTTTCTAATCTCAGAACTTTGCCTTCTTTTGGTGACCCGGGGGTTGGCCTTTGGCTAGTGGGTGAAGATTTGGTTGGCAGTCTCTGCAGTCTGTACATTTGGGTAGTCTTGACCATGGGGCAGGCCTCAACCGATCACTTGCAAATTGGGCCTGGCCCTCCTGGAATCTTGTGCAATAGGAAGGCACAGAATAAGGGTTTGCCTTGCCAACACCAAGAGGTAGCAATCCAGATGCTGTGTGTGGTAGTTTGGGCCTGTGGTCCCATTCCTCTGGGAAGAAGAGGCAGGAGAGTTGTAAGGCCAGCTCTAGGACAGCTTGAGCTACAGGGTCAGACCCTGTCTCAAAAAAAAAAAAAAAAAAAAATCAACCAAACAAGGAAGGGGAGCGATGGAGCAAAGCAAACAAAGCTAGGAGAAAAGTTGGCAGAGGATCCAGCCAGGCCAGTCTAGAGAAAGGGATGAATGCCCTGAAAGACCTTCAGAATGACTCTGGCAGAGGAAGCCATTCCTTAGGACTCTCCAGGTTAAAGAATGGGTAAGACAGGTCCACTCTGGAACAGTGGCTCCTGTTGCTGAAGAGACCTTTGATTTGATCTATTCAAGACCAACAGGATTTAGGCTTTCTTTTCATGACTTTTTTCTTTTGAGACGACGTTTCACCACATGGTCCATCATACTACATTGAACCTTGTTATGTGATCCATGCTGTTCTTGTCTTAGTCTCCTGAGGGCTGGGATTGTTGTGTGTCCCTCCATGTCTGGTGGAACCAACAATCAGGAAAGATCTTGGTCAGCTCCAGATAAAATTGTCTTAATTTGAACTAATAACTCTTAAGAAACAGAGATTAGTGGCCAGCACTTGGCAGACAGGCAGGTTGATCTCTGTGAGTTCAAAGCTAACTCATTCTACATAATGATTTCAGGATAGCCAATGTTACATAGTGAGACCCTGTCTCTTTAAAAGGAAAAAAAAAAAAGGATTATTTCCAGGGTGGTGGAGAGAGATTTGTAATTCTCCAGAGTTTTTTATGGTTTTGGTCAGTAAAGTGCCCATACTTCCAACTGTTACTGTCACAGTAACAGGTGCATTTAGCTCTAATTTACTTGGGGAGGAACCATAGTTTTAGCTGTATGTTAATCTTGCTCTCCTGAGAGAAGATCCAGAGATGATCTGTGGTCGTATTTCAAACCCCCGAGCTGCTGTGCTTTCAAAAGAAGAAAAGGCACGCAGTCTTTAAGCCATGCTTTAAAGATAGAAGCTGTCTCGCAGCTTGGATTAGTTCTAACATGCTTGGGAAGGTCTGCCGGAAATATGCATTCATTTGCTTTTCCACGACAGTTACCACTCAGCCTGTGTCTGCAGAGCTTCTGCACAGTTTGTTTGTTTGGGGGTGGGGTCTCACTTTATGCCCCTGGCTGGCCTGGAGCTCACAGAGAAGTGCCTTGTCTCTGCTTCGTGAGTACTGACATTAAAGGCCACTCACTATGCCTGGCAGTCTTTAGATTTTGATACAGGTCGGCTTGCTTCCTTTTTTGTAAGGAGATAGCGCTGTAAAACCAGGCCAGCCTCACCCTCAGCAATCCCACCTGCCTCTGCTTTTCTAATGCTGGGATTTAAAGTATGCACCACTCTGACTGGCTAAGCAGTCTTTTATAGCAGTTAACTCAGTGGTGGTTAGTTAAACAATGCTTGTTGACTTTTTCCACTTTAGAATGATTTGTCTGTGTGTGCGGTGGTTGAGACAGGGTTTCTCTGTGTTTTAGCTCTGGCTGTTCTGGGACTCTGTAGACCAGGCTGACCTTGAACTCAACAAAATCTGCCTGCCTCTGCTTTCCAAGTGCTGGGATTAAAGGTGTGCCACCATTGCTAGGCTGGAATGACTTTAAGGTGGTCTCAGAGAGGGCTCAGCAGTTAAGAGTGTGCCTGCCAAACTTGCAGAGGACCTGAGTTCAGTTCCCAGCTTCCACACTGGGCTGCCTGTAACTCCCATCTTCAGGAGATCTCATACTCTCACCTGGCCTTCACTAGCATCTTCTGCACACGTGGCATACGTCTCATAGACACATACTTATAGTATGAGCTGTGGGCAGGCCTGTTTTTCGTCCCACCTGGCTCCCGCATGGTTAGCTTTACACCCGAAATAACAACACACAAAATGTATTCATTTAAACACTGCTTGGCCCATTAGCTCTAGCCTCCTACTGGCCAACTCTCACATCCTTATCAACCCACCTCCCTTAATGTGTGTAGCACCACCAGGAAGATTCTAGCGTATGTCTATCTTAGGCTGGAGCTTCATTGCTTCTACCCCGGAGATAGCAGAGGCATGGCCTCTGAGCTCGCTTCCTCTTCCTCCCAGCATTCTGTTCTGTTTACTCCACCCACCTATGTTCTAACCTATCAGGCCAAGCAGTTTCTTTATTAATTAACCAATGACCTTCCTCCATCACATACTCATTAAAAAAAAAAAAAAGACCTTTGTGTGTGTACAGTGTTTTGGCTTGCCAGTAATGGTTAGAGAGCAATTTTTGTTTGTTTGTTTTTTTTCGAGACAGGGTTTCTCTGTGGTTTTGGAGTCTGTCCTGGAACTAGCTCTTGTAGACCAGGCTGGTCTCGAACTCACAGAGATCCTCCTGCCTCTGCCTCCCGAGTGCTGGAATTTAAAGGTGTGCGCCACCACTGCCCGGCTAGAGAGCAATTTTTTTATTTTCTTTTTCGAGACAGGGTTTCTCTGTGCGGCCCTGTCTGACCTGGAATCTCAGACTTAGAGATCTGCCTGCCTCTGCCTCCAGTGCTGGGATTAAAGGCCTGCGCCATCACTGCCTGGCGAGAGAGCAACTTTTGATCTCTCCTTCCATTGGGGTTTCTGGTGTGGTGAGCACCTTTACCCCTGAGCTGCCTCCTACTTTGGAAAATTCTTCCCTCTGATGCTTTGTCTTTCTTCCTTGCACTAAGTCAATTTATCTCCATGGTTGATAAGGTTTTTAGTGGGTTTTGTGATCAGCACTTTACAGGAAACTAGCACAGCAGACCTAGGCAGCTGGTGCAGGCCTGTGCACCCAGCACTCTGGATGAGGAGACAGGATCACTACATGACACTCTGTCTCCAAAAAATGAAGTGTTAAGTCTAGGTCTTGCTCTGCATGGGCTACAGATCTTGATTTGGAAGGGATGGAGGCTGCCAGTAACTTGGAACAGTATGATCTAATGACCAGCTTACATACTTGAGACCTGAAAGCAGCCGGCTTGGACTGGGAATTTCTGCTTAGTGAGAAGGGAAGGGAGTGCATTTCCTGCCTTGAGCTTCTGAATATCTGAAGTGCCACACCCTTGGGGAGGGCATTGTAGGATCATCTTCTGTTTGCTGAATGCCCTGAAAGATTGGCCTTGCCCTGGCCTTGGTGGGCAAGAGCCCTTCATTTGTTGGAGACCCAAAGTAAGCAAGCCCAGCTGGAGGGTTTTTTAAGCTCCCCTCTGTGGTTTGGAAGTAAGAGCTGAACTAAAGGCACACTTGCTGTGACATCTTGAGTTGCTTTTGCTGGTGTTAGGGGACAGGAAAGCTTGTTTCATTTTCCATGTCTAACATGGAGCGATGGGTGGTAGTCGCTTCTTCCAGTAGCAGCTGCTGTCGCCCTCATGGGAGGTGAGCATGTTCAGGGTGGAACTTTCTTGTTGGTTCGTCAGTCCAGTTAGCTGGAGGACCCAAATGAGGTGACTTTAGAATTAAAGGCCCCTGAGGCCTGAAGAAATGAACGTGTTGGGCAGCCTCAGATTCAATTCTTCCTCCGCTGTCGTAGATGCTTACCTTCCTGGGAAAGAAGTTGGCAGACACTTCTACCTCTGGAATGCCAGCTCGCAACGTCTTTCTCCCTATCTTTTCCTGAGAGACAAATGTTCTAGGTTAAGCAGAAGCCTAATGTCCTTTAGCCTTCTTTGGTCCTCTCCTCAGTCACGTTCTCAGTTATGGAAAAGAACAGTGCACGCACACAGGAGCAGCAGAGGGCCACTAATCGCTATGGCCTGAAATCCATGTGTTTTCTCGTCTCTTTCCCTGCCAGCTGGCTCCTGCCTCTGCTAGGTTTCCTAGGGCAGAATTACCTCGGGCTATTGGTAAAATCTGGAAATAAACAAGAAGGCCTGAAGAAGTGGAAATAATTCCCTTTAGACTAAAGTGTGCTCTTTTTTTTTTTTTTTTTTTTTAAAGGAAAGGTGTATTGGGGGAACCTGCTTTATGAGCTGATTCTTACTGGCTACAGGGATGATATAGTTTCT